AGAGAGAGAGAGAGAGAGAGAGAGAGAGAGAGAGAGAGAGAGAGAGAGAGAGAGAGAGAGAGAGAAATCTAACTAACTGCGTGACCCTCCCCCCCCACGATGAAGTGTAAAATCTGCTTCGATCTGTTTCATATGCGATACGTGGTCCATCGAGACTTCAAAAAAAAAAAAAAAAGCACACGAGCGCGTGAGAGAGAGAGAGAGAGAACCCAATCTAACTAACTATACGCCTCCCCCCCCTCCCCCCTATACGATAAAGTGTAGCATATGCTTCTATCAGTTTCATATCCGATCCTCCCCTCCACACAATCAAGCGTAGTATCCGCTCCGTTCAGTTTCATATCTAATCCGTGGTCCATAGAGACCTTTTTATTTTAAGAAAGAAAAAAAAGCACGCATGCGTGCGAGTGAGCGAGAGAGAGCGAGAGGTCCATCGAGATGGTTGAAACGTGCGCACGCAAGACGTGCGAGTGCGCGCGCGCGCGCGCGCGAGAGAGAGAGAGAGAGAGAGAGAGAGAGAGAGAGAGAACCCAAACTACCCAACTACGCCCACACGATCTAGTGCAGTATCTGCTTTGATCAGATCCGTGGTTCACGAGACTGTTAAAAAAAAAAAAAGAACAAATGCGCGCGAGACGAGGGAGATATATTAGAGAGTGAGAGAGAGGGAGAGAGAGAGAGCCCCCAATCTAACTAACTATGTGCCAACCACCACCACCTCCATGATCAAGTGTAGTATCTGATCCGTGGTCCATCGAGACGGTTTATAGAAAAGAAAAAAAAAGCATCCACGCTAGACGCGCGAGAAAGACTAGAGAGAGGGGGCGAGAGAGACCCCAATCTAACCAGCTACACGTGCCCCCTTCCCCCCCCATGATCAAGTGTAGTATCTGCTCTGTTCAGTTTCATATGTGATCCGTTGTTCATCGAGACGTTTTTATGTTAGAAAAGGAAAAAAAAAAGCACGCGCGCGAGCAGGCTAGAGAGGGGTTTGAGGGGGGGAGAGAGAGAGGTCCATCGAGATGGTTTAAACGCATGCGCTCAAGATGCGGGAGGGAGAGAGAGAGAGAGAGAGAGAGAGAGAGAGAGAGAGAGAGAGAGAGAGAGAGAGAGAGAGA